GAAGAGATCGCTTATTAGCGATAAGGCCGCCCGTTGCATTCCTTATAATTTTTATGTATTGTGTTTATTTTATTTGCAACGAAGTGTAAATAAAACATGAATATTCTATAGTCTCATATATTTATTCATGGAAGTCACCATTAATCACGGCATGTAGGTTTAAGTCAAGTAGGTGATTAGTCTCTATGCCTGACACATTAATTTAAAGGTCATAGATACATACGTTGGTTCAACGGTGCTTCGTTGTAAGTTAGTGTTAATATAATTATAAAAGTTAAAAAACCTTCTTACAACTAGTTGACTATAGGAACATGTTGGCTTGGTTTCAGCGTGCAAGTCTCATCCCAAAGGTCGTAGGTTCCAACCCCGGCTGTGCAGCAATGAGAGTGTCTATGTGCGCATTAAATACTCGCTCGTACGGTGAAGGAAAACTTCATGAGGAAACCAGCATGCATTAGACCCTTAAATCGACAGCGTCTGTCAGACATAGAAGGCTGATCATCTACTTGCCAATTAGGACAACAAACGATCCAACAAATACAGAAGTCAGAACAAACAAAGAAATTCTAAATAGGGATATGTGGACAGATCAATAGAACAGAAAAAAAAGTTAACTTGTTGAATGTAGACATCATTTTCACAAACTATAGACGAGATTGACATGTCTACCTTAGCCTTTTCCCGCTAGAGAACAATTAATTATCTCGTGTCGAATAACAATTATATTTTGCATTCCAAAATATATTAAATTGATTTAAATTCCTAACCTATGAAATTCAAGATAAAAGCTATTTTCGATTGAACTCACCGGTTCGTACCTGAAGATGCACTTCAGAATATTTGGCACGATTTAACAAACGATCAGCTGCCACTTGGGTGACCATAAATAAATAAAATAAAATAGGTTTTTGTATGTGAAAATATACTTCAATACAAATGAAGCCACAAATACAAAATATTAAATTCGTGAACTAGTTGTGTTGGACAGTTCTAAAATAAAAATAAAATAAAATATGTATGTTTATTATGGAACATAAGATACAGGTATTACTTATTCCACGTCATTAAATTTGAATCTGTAGGCATCCCTACTCATCGGCAAAGAAGACAGAGGGTGTAGGCCGAGAGAAAACGCCAGCGTAAACAACTGTCGGTACTCTTTTAAAATAGAGTAAAATCACATATCAAATATCAAACATCACTTATTTTAAAAAAAATATCGCAAATTACTACGATGAGTACTCATCTGTCTGTTTACATCACAACGTTGACTGAATCAGACGAGTACTTTAATAAGAGTGCAATCAGACTATTTTTTTAGAAATCTAAAACAACACAAGCAGTGTTGATGACTCGACCACAAAATTCTTTTAAGTCTATCTGAAAGTGACGTTGACATTTTAGACTAAAAAGTAATAAGTGTGGTATACCGCTCTAGGGGCTTTGAAAATGGCTTACCACACTTACTCCTCTAGCTCTGCTCTCTCTGTTCTGAACCCAATCTCTCTATCTAAGCCTTCGAAACTTCCACAGCTCCCTGTCCTGTGCCGCATCTCGCCAGTTGCTCCTCCACTCAGTCGATCGAGCGGTAGGTACATGGTCTGTAGGAAATTGACGAAATTTTCAAAACAAACATTTTCAGTGATTCGAAAATTCTACTTTATACCAAAACCATGGCCACACGTTATACGTCACAGCCCGAATAGCAATATTTATAGACCATTGGCGGTGTTATAATAGAAATATGGGAATTGTGTTACGTTCTGTGCAATTTATATTTGTACGTGCGCACGTAATTTATGATTGAATTAACCAAATGTTATGTTTAACACAATTTATTATGTCAATATAAACAAAATTGCTTTTACGTAACGCAAGAGTTGAGCGAATTTTGCTATAAATATGTTTACTTATTATGAGATATGCATTAGGTTTTAACAGATTCATAATATTTGTCCTTGATTTACGTGAATTTTTAATTAAACTTCATTAACGAATTTAAATGCGTATTACATTACGTAACTTGACGTTTCAATAGACTATTTAAATAATTTAAGTGAAAACAAGAAGTCAGTTTTCATAACAGAAAACAATCATCTGTTATAATACAACGCAAAAAACATTCTGATATTTGAAAAACTGTCACTTCACATGTGACAAGTGTTGCCTGCCATTACTTACACATTCAAACTCCAACATATATCACTAATTACTATTATAATACTCTTATGTTTTTAAGCATTTTACACATTGATATACAAAAAACCCAAGATGCACAATCAACGTCTAAAAAACGTTCTCAAAAAATGAGCGCAACATTCTAAATTGTGCGCTCATTTCAAATAGTCTCGCGTCGCTCGCGTCTGGGAGCAGTTGTCAAAAATGTCAAGTGTTCTGTGAGAAATTGTAAAAATATTACGTCAAGAAGGCTAAAAAGGATGGGATATCGTATTTTCGGTAAGTAAAAACTTTATTGATTAGTTTTTGTTGTTTTTATGACTGATTATAACAAGCAATGTGTGATTTTTTATTTATTTTTTCTAAAAACTTCATTCAACGCACAAACTTCTATACGGCCAACTTCAATGGCTGCTTGTTCAGTGTTAGAACAACGCATTACAGTCTTCTTTTTATTTTAGTCGCATTATAAAAATGACCCTGTTCTAATAAGTGGAGTCGATGTTATATGTTTTTTTTTATAAATAAATTTATGTACTTTTTAACTTTTTTTGTGTGTAGTTTTTGACAAATATATTTACGCTATATAAAGTGTAGGTCAGGAGGTACCCAATTTAACATTTTTTTTAATTTAAAGAAAAAACTTTTTAACCGGATTAAAGTTATGTATTATTATAAATTTACAACTATTTAACATCCAACACCTTTTGTCTTCAGTCACCGTGACCACGCACGCTGTAAAGCACGCGAAACGTGGGATAAATTTAAAATTATGTTAAAAAGTTGTAACTAAAAAAGTCATGTTCGACTCCACTCAATACCTTGTCCTACCGACCACGGTCGGTCGTAAAATTTTATTGCTTTAAGTACACTGCGTTGTAATAACAACCTTAAACAATTCGCATAAGGTTGATTTTGCAATAATATATGCTTGTAACTTATAGAAAGAGACAGAAATAGTGTTTCGGGACACTTTCGAGCGTTACTTTTATTCGAGACTGATGTGCATCTTGGGTTTTTTGTATATCAATGATTTTACATAATTAAAGATACTGTTCCATAATGCTGATTCTGAATCATCATTCGAAGTAATAAAAATTCTGCCTTTTAATTTAATAAAAATCCCAATGATTTGAATATCTTAATATATATATTTCTTCTGTGCGTGTGTATGTGACTGAACTCCTCTCAAACGACTGGACCGATTTTGATGAAATTTTTTGTTTGTGTTCAAGGGGATCTGGGAATGGTTTAAATTCACAAATCAGCCCGGCAGATGGCACTGCAGTCGGTACATTCATACTTTGCTTAATATCCTAATCGCTTTAAATATCATGCAGGACAACGTCTGTGGGGTCCACTAGTAAATAAATAAATTTTGTGGTTTTACTATTACCTATCTGAGACAAAGGTGCAGAATTACTGAATAAATATTGTTGCGCATAATATTACTGCATTTATAAATGAAAGAATTTTTTAAACTGATTCTCTTCTAAAAATGAAACGGACAATTTCAGAATCTGTTGTACAACTTTTATGAGCACAAGACGAAGCTTAGTTAATGGAAGATTGACTATTTACGGAGGAAACGTGGTCGCTTCTAGTTTTTATTTGTTATTCACTCCACTCGTCTTAGAGAACGATTAATTTGATGAAACATTTATTCTTCGAAGACATGGGGAGCAATTGGCTGTGCCAAAAATCAATCTGGAACTGTTTAGGAAAAAACCTTTTGCATGGCAAGCAAGGTTAACAATAATTTACCAAAAGAATTAAAAGATCTTCCGACTAGACTCTAGTCACTAGAGTTTTAAAAAATCGACTTGGTGTATTACTTTTGGAAAAAAAAATTATTCAATAAATTATTATTTGCGTGAGATACTGTAGTTGATATAAATTTAATAACATATGATATGATATGTACGATACAAATAATATAAGAATATATAATATAATACAATAATATAAGAATTGACCAATTCATATGACTAATAATGTAAAATGTTAAATTCCTATAAAGACAAATTTGCGCGCCATTGTGTGTCGCAGAATATGCGAACTTACGATTGTACCACCTTACACATTTTTGTACCATATTCTTGCAATAAATAAATTATGGCATTTGATTTTATTAAATAACAGACTAAGCGGAAAGGAGAATATTCTTTTCTTATGTATTCAAGAAAAGAGCACACTAATTCTTAAAAGGCCGGAAACGCACTCGCGAGCTGTCTGGTAATGTGAGTGTCCATGGGCGGCAGTATCACTTAACTTCAGGTGAGCCTCCAGCCCGTTTGCCTCCTATTACCTACGGAAGATCTTTTAATTCTTTTATAGCTGCTAGTTTGTTTGTCGTTCTCCTAATTTATAAATTTTGTGCTGTCATGTTTTGTCTTGTTTTAATTTATATTATATTTTTATCAGTGAAACTTTTTGTGGATATGTCCAATGTGTTTATTTTATGTTTTACTTTTATTTTATTTTTACTGTATAGAGATGTATCTGTTTAGTTTCCTTAATAAACAAATAAATAAAAAAGTCCCATAGCTCATGTACCCGCAGGTCCGTTTTCCTGTATCTTAAGTTACAGTCTCGTCTTGAGTAATTTTAAATATTATGTCGAACACGTACCCAAAATATAGTTTGACAGCTCTTGAAACTAGATTAAGGTTTGATTGGTGTTTAGAATAGCCTTACACTAAGGGAAAAATCGGGATAAGTATTGTTAAATAAGATATAAAAAACAACGCAGTACACTGTAAATTTTATTGAAAACAGTTAATCCATACGTAATAAAAACTCAACCAACTCCTCATTTCTTCTTATCTTTCATCATCACCACCCGTCATCACCTCCATAAACTCTGAAAAAGGAAAGGGTCATTGTCAGATGAAAATGTCAATAGAATGGCATCTTGAAAATCAATTATCCCATTATCAAACAAATAGATCTACAATTCAAAGAATACAGTGATAAGAGTTAATAATTATAATCAGCAATTTCGTAACTTTTTAACACCCCACAATTTCTGTCTTAATTGCTATTAATACAAACTTAATCTACCAAAGTAAAGTACAAGAAACTTATAAACTAATTATCACTTTATTGACTACGAAAAGGTTAGGACGTCAATTAAGTACTACGCCGTAGAATTTATTATAGCTACGAATTTCCAAAATGTAGTTTTAGAATCCAATCAATGTGACAAAATGAACCATATTTTCATATTCACGACATTAACATCATGAATATACAATTACTTGAATATAATTAAAGGGATGTCATCAGTAATTAACATGTCAAACATTGATTAATCAAGTTTTTTTTATAGTTTTTAATAACTTTATCAATTTATTAAAACATAATATAATTACAACTATATAATTGTAATTATATAATTATAATTATAATAATATAGCGCTTATATTCCGAAAGTCTGTGATCTTTAATACATTTTCACTACAGTAAAAAAGAATCGGAAAACAATTAATTAATCGTTTTTCGGATTTCGGTGTGCCTCTTTTCTTTATCTATCCCTAGCGACTCTTCTCCAGTCCAGTCTGCTGTTACTAACAGTTGTAATTATAGTATGTTAATTCAGATAGCTGAATCGCGTATTTAATTAATTGAGCGGCTTTTAGGTGAACACAGAATGTATTTAATATTTATCAAAGAGATGTCTCGCCCCATTGATTTTACGAGATTAATATTACATACGATAGCAAATCCAGACGTTATTCAAGTACCTAGTCTTTAAAAGCCTATACTATAAACTTGACATGTAAACTATTCTTGTTATCAAATAATATTCAATTCGTAGAGTTTAAATTGGAGGTAAAAAGTGTAACTTCTTAAAAAAAAAAATTTGGATCTATGTTATAAAAATATGGTATAATACTAACCGTGGAATCAATTTGTTTTTGGATATAAATTGATCAAATCTTTCCTATTTATGATATAAGTTTAGATTTGATTTTAAACAATCTTAGGCATACAATGCGCAGAGGCGATGAGAATTTGGAGAAACAGATCGTGGTTGGCAAAAGATCACGTGGCCGTTCACCAACCAAGTGATCAAGTGAAAGACTCATCATCCTCAAAACTGTACACTATGATACGGGTGCTGAACAGAAACCCTTGGAAACGGATTGTCTGCCACAGATGTTTCCCTGCTGACCACGGCGCTCAGACGTGAACTTGCCACTGAAGTGAGAGACATGTTTCCGATACAAGGAGGTTATGAAACCTTACCATCAAAATCAACGGTGCCTGAACCATCCGAGTCAATTTCTTCAATCATCATATCCAACTCTTCGGCGCTTATCTTATCATCAAGCTCCCGAAGAATCTCTCTTAGGACTGCAGTGGTGATGTAGCCGTTTCCTGAAAGTATTTTGTATAATATATTAATTCCTGTACCTTTACGTCAGGGAGAGCCTAGTAGACCTGGTAGACCTGGCGTACATCTGAATATTATGAGAGTGGAGGAAGCTACCTAAACCTCAACTTGTTACGATCCTCGGAGACCACAAGTTCTTTGCCTATTTCTTTTGCGACATATATACCTATATACCTAACTTATACAAAAGAGATATGGTGTACTGATGTAGAGTATCACATACAATAAATTAGTGGCGCTACAACCTTTTTATGTCTGGGCCTCAGATTTCTGTACCTGTTTCTGATTTGTCCATCTAATAGGCAAGCAGGTGATTTGCTTCCTGTGTCTATACACACGCTGTTATTGGGTCTAAGGCAAGTCGGTTTTTTCACCGTTCAAGCTAATGTTAAATGCGCACATAGAAAGAAAGTCCATTGGTGCACAGCAGGGGATCGAACCTACGACCTCGGGATGAGAGTCGCACGCTAAAGCCACTAGCCCAACACTGCTATACTGCTTTATAGTATCACATAGTTAATTAAAATCTAAATTTAATTAATTTTGCTCATTAAAAACTTACGTTCTGCTGTCATTTGTATAGTTTTTAATTGAGGCATTTCATTTTGTTATTTTCAATTAAATAACTTTATATTAACTTATGAATGAACAACTTTTGTTCACAAAGTTTTTCAAATTGAATGTTTCACATAGTTTTTATTATTGTGTTTTCAATTTCAAATTTGTGTAAATAAGGATTAGGATCATTTAACTATTCGTCAAATTTATAAAAAGCTTTATTGATTAATTTACGTTTAACGAGAAGCTTAGAATTTATTTAGTGATAATTCTAGACATAACATTTATTACAAACGAAAACACACACACATAAACACACAAAATTACAATACTTAAACAAAAAATAAAATAAGACATCAAAAACAATAAAAATTAAAATTAAAAATTCCCTTTTGCCATTCGGTTCGCTTCCAGTGTGCAATGTGTGTGTACTGTGGTTGTAATTGGCCCTGGCTCAGCATTATGCTGAGGAGCAAAAAGTTCCACAGCGCTGGTCATTCTGCCAGAGACCACAGCAGCTAGTTTGCTTAATTAAATTCTAATTAATTAAATTCTAAGTTCTAACTTTCGTTAAACGAAAATTAATCAATAAAGCTTTTTATAAATTTGACGAATAGTTAAATGATCCTAATCCTTGGGATTGATTTGCTCCAGTTAACAATTTGTATGACTTAAAACTTAGCGATTAAAAAGAGTGGCGGAGGGTTTCTTGCCTGTTCTTATTGCCCGTAAAGCGGGAAAGCCTTTGACTAACGACCTGGTAGTAAATGTAAATTAAGAAATAATTTTACTTCTTTTCCGACGTTCAGAAGTGTACTTGTTTACCTATATGGATAAAGTTATTTTGAGTTTGAGTTTGATATTTAGCGGCAGTTTGCACCAGTCCAGATACAGTACTATGCAAACTACTTTGCTTTCTTGAATAGCACTTGACACTTTGAATATTAGTTAACGATTTCCTGGCTTCCACAGTCCCAAACAACGAACCCAGGTGACGTCATCTTACGACAAAACCCACTTTCGATTATGTTTATTAACTCTGAAATATTACCGTAACGTGAAATTGCAAACTTATGTGAGAGGTTTTTGGTTTTTAAGAAAGAACAAATAGCATATTTTGCTTTGCACGCAATATAGTAATGTACCTTCTTTGTCGTATAACCGGAATGCTTCTTTAAGTTCTTGTTGCATTGCTTCTGCGTCTTCCTCAACCATAAACCTGGAAGCCAGGGTTACGAACTCCTCAAACTCCAGCTCACCCGATCCTGATAATATATAAAACAATGTTTGTAGCTTGTTAATACGAAAGTGAGAAAGATATAAAAATCGCAGGTCATAGACACCCATTTAGTGGGTGTTTTGTCGGCATTTGAGAAAGTACTTTCCTTGATGAATTGGAGATCGTATATCCCAGGGAAGACCCCCACCGGGAGTTTTTTTTTATAGAACGGGGGGCAAACGGGCAGGAGGCTCACCTGATGTAAATTGATTCCACAGTTTGCATGTTTACAAAAGAAAGTGTCTTGTGAAGCTGACTTTCAGCCATGAAGGTGATGCTGATGAAATTTTAAATAAAGAAATTATGCAGATCAGCGATTGTTGCTTGTTGTGTTAATTGTTTCAGCCTAATTTGAATCTAGGACTTCACCTACGGTTTAATAATATTTTTTTCTTATTACTAATTATACTTCAATATTATATACATTTTGAAACTATATAAACATTTATTAAATAGACAAGTTAGTAACTAGTGAGTTCTTGTGTTACAGTTTAGCGCCACCTTTTGATTCCAAGTAAAGTTCTATCAGATCTCAATAGATCATAGAGGATCATGGGGAGAAATTCTGTGTCTGTTATCGATGTTTACTGCAACATAATTAGTTTTATCTAACTCTTATTGTTTAGCCGGATATCAAACCCAGAACATATATACTATAATACCAGTGCATTAAAGAATATCTTTACCATCAACATCAACTTCATCAATGATGTCTTTGAGCATGTCATCTGTAACGGACATTCCCAACATTCCCAGGATTGTTCCAACCATGACTGTACCAATACATCCTTTCTTCTCGTGGTCGAAGGCTTCAAATGCCTTTTTCAGGACTGTAATAAAAGGCTTACGATTAGGATAACTTAAACAAAATATTTCATCCAAATCCTATGAATATTTAAAAGAGTGTCGTGGAGCGTTATTATCGATTGAATAAGGGAATTCTAGTCTTTACGAATAATTGGTAAGCCCAAGACTCTGTTGAACTGGTCATTTTGAGAGTAGCAGAAGATCGAAGCTCGATTCAAATGCTTGAATCAAAAGCTCGGAATCCTGACCCACCCATCAGGCCCAGATATCGCTGGAAAGAGGCCGTGGAGAAGGACATATGCGAGCTGCAAGTGGCTGATTAGGAAGCGATAGTGATTGGCAAAATTTTCTGGTTTCGGAGGTCAAGGCTCACTTTGACTTTGTGCCAGCAGAGTAAGGAAGTATTTCTAGTCCAATTAGAGCGACATCACCTTGATCAATAACAGTCCAACGGCTTTTGTCTTTCATTCTCTGCTCTGACCCACGTGTTGTAGAAGAGGAGCAAGGACGCTTATCACGCACTTTGATATAGAGACATTCCATATATGGAATCTCCATCTATGGAACGTAGATACATTTCGAATGTACAAGACAAATTTAGAGTCTGCTTAACAAAAGAAAATTAACAGCAATTTTATAGAAAAGTCTTCGAATCTTTTTCTTCTCTCTTCGTTTTCATCTAAATCTTAGTATTTTAAAACTAAAAATAATAATATTCCGTATGTCTTTGTTGGACGTGTTTGTTTAAAGTCCTGAAAACATGAACGCTACATTTGGTAACCTAGAGATTACCAAATGTAGCATAATGTCGTATTAGAATACGAAGATAATTCGTTATGCATGAATATTTCTTATACTTTTTGTTTGTTAATAATAATAAGAGAAACGTGTATAATTTGTTCGTTCTATTCAGCGTTTAAATTAATTGTTAAATTTAATTAAAACTTCAACTTACTGATAATCTGATCCTTGTTGAGCTCTTCCTGTGAATATAATGATTCGATTTTTAAAACAAAATCACTTCAAAAACAGTTTTGAATTCAGAATACTATATCGTTAAAGATTAGCCTCCTAAGCCCACAAGTCGTAAATGAGTTAGCTTTAGACACGCTTATTAATGATTTTCTTCACAATATGTATACGTATTAATTCAGCACATAAATAAAAAGGGCATAGAACGCACCTCATAGTTAAAAAACGCCAGTCTCTGTTGCACTAAATCACTTTACTTAACTACTTAATAAAGAAAAATAAGCTTCAAAATAATTGTGCTAATACTATAAAATTAAAAATAATAATTTGATTTACAACTAACATAAAAAAAATCCACATAAATTTCAACTGTAAAATCCATATTTAAAAACACTAAAGCATTCAATTAAATTAACAATTAATTTAGAATTAGTAAACACTCACCATATTTGAAGTAGTACGTTCAAAAGAACTGAATCAAATAAACCACGATCGCAGACAACAGTGTTAAAAACACCAATCCTTGCAGCTGAATGAAGTGAGCGACTGCCTTGACACTCGCTAGAAATGATGCGATACCCAGATCGAACCGACTCACATACCGACTTGAACAGCAAGTAGTATTCTGGCGAACCGGATCGCTTTTAACTACTATAGCTAAGGACACACACGTTGCCAAAACTGAATAAAGGTAAATATCGCTGTCTTGCTCGTGGGATAATCAAAGTGATTAGAAGCTTCCTATAAAACAATGGATATCGTCCGTAGTATTCATACTTGGATAATTTGTAAAATAATTTAATTTTATGAGAATATTTTTTTTCTGTTTTACATGAACGGGCTAAAAATACAGACGTTATAAATGTTCAAACTAATAAAGTGTGTTTGAAAAGAATATTGCTCAAAACAGTACGGATTTTAATTGTAATATATGAATATATATTTGTTTCTTTATATCAAAACCCTATATATGTATTTGAAATAAGAATGATACACTTCAAATCGGCTTTAATGTTCATTTATCTATTCAGTAATACAGAAATACAGTACAATTGAAATAAATACAATTATAATTAAATAAGAAGGTGGGCAACTGGCTGGCTTCTCGTTTTCGAGCGATCTCATCCAGAAAAGGCTTCATTATAATTGCGTGGCGGAGAGTTTATTGCCAGTTCTTCTCTTCTGCTCTATGCCCTTGATTTGAGAACTAGCAGTAAATGTAAAATTAGAAGCATTTAATGTATATTTCTTTTTTGAGGTTCATAAGTGAACATTGTGTTACCTATATGATTAAATGATTTTGACTTTGACTTTTGACTTCGACTTAAACTTATAAAGCTCTCAAAAATACGCTTTTTTACGTTATAAATAATGACAATTAATTTTGTTTTAATTGTACAGTATAGTTTCACGTGCATAAAGATATAATATTATCTAATAATTTGGCAAATAAAGTCTTGTATTCATCATAAATAAACACGTATTGTTGCTCATAGCTACTAAAAATCATTATACATTTGACTAATTTTTCCCTGTCAAAATTCACCCGTTTGTGTCGTGTCAAATGTCTGACGAGCTCACGTCTCTGAGCAATGCACTATATAGCGACATAGCATCCAATTAAAATGTATCTGCCCGAAATCGATTGGATATTTGCCATATTTTTGCCTATACGTTTGAAACGCGAGCCAAGACACGTGTTAGTGAAAAGTATTATTATAAAAAGGAAATGAAATATCTAGTGAAATACAGCAGGAAATATTATTTTGTCTGGCTCAAATTATAAGTTATTGTGAAATTGGAAAAGTTTGTGTTCACTGATTGTGGGTGTTTATAATGTGACATTAAAGTCACAGAAAAGCAAGATATTTTAAGATAATGCATAGTTATTTCATTCATTTAAAAAACAGTAGTGCTTCAGTCTTTTTAGGTCTTGGCCTCAGATTTCTGTATCTGTTTCATGATCTGTCAATCCAATAGAAAAGTAGGTAATCAGCCTCCTGACACAAGCTGTCGAGGGCAAGCTGGTTTCCTCACGATGTTTTCCTTCATCGTTTGAGCGAAAGAAAGTCTAATGGTGCATAGTCGAAGGCAACTCTGCTCTATTTATTTCATTTACAAATGGTATTATTAATACTCCATTAGACATTTTATTATTGTGTTATTATTGTGTTTAAAAATTGCTCTTCGTCTGTCTCGCTAAAACTCGAGAATGCCTGGACTGATTTGGCTAATTACAATCTTGAAATATTGGTAAAAGTACAGGGAAACGGGCTACATAAATAACATAACGGGACAGTTGAATTTTCTAATAGAAACTGTTTCTAGCTGGAAAATATTTGATGTTTTTTGTATTTAAAAAAAATTAAAAATTTACAATATATTTTTAGATGCCTTCAGAAATTTGTATTTTGTAGCTGTAGTATGAGGATACAATTTTTTTAATACATACTAAAAATATCAGGTCTCTTTGGTCTATTTATAAATTATTGTATTAAGTGTTGGACACATATGTAGGTGATACGAAGTTCTCCGGATCATCTTCATCATCACCGAAGACGGCTGGACCAAATAAAAAAAGTTTCTACCATTATTTACAATGAGCACAAAAAGTTAACTGAATAATTAAATTCGACTGAGGGACTTTCAACAAAAGAGCGTACCAATTCCTGAAAGTTCCGCGACACACTCGCTAGCCCATTGAGAGTCTTCAAGTGTAACACTTAACATCAGGTGAGCCTCCTGCCTAGATTTAATGGGATATATTTATTTATTAAAGCTATATTTATAATGCTATATCTAAAGTATGTTACAAGCTATCTTTTTTAAAATATATGACAATACAATTAAAATAATAAAAACATTAAACTTCCAATTTAAGAGTTTAAATTAAGTATGACTAAGAAATTTTTATGCAAATGAAATTGCAGAGAAAAAATCAGATTTAGTCCTAAACAAATTCGTTTTCCGGCTGATTTAGTTCAGTTTTATAACAAAAGTTTTATCTTACAAGATTTACGATAGTTGGGTTTCTTCATAAAACCTTATCTGCTTCTCAAGTTGAAGTGAGCTTTTATATCTTCCACATTAAAACTTACCAACGTGTGTGTACAAAACGGAGTGTCAGAGTTCATTTATTGCCAGTTCTTCTCTTCTGTTCTACGGCCTTGATTTGAGAACTGGCAGTAAATGTAAAATTAGAAGCATTTAATGTATATTTCTTTTTTGACGTTCATAAGTGTACATTGTGTTGGCTACATAAATAAATGATTTTTGACTTTTGGCGAATTGGGTCCTTCAAGAAAAGAGCGTACCAATTCTTAAAATGCCGGCAACGCACTTGCGAGCCTTCTGGCAATGTGAGTGTCCATGGGCAGCGGTATCACTTAACATCAGGTTGGACTCCTGCATGTTTGACTCATAATGCATAAAAAAAGAAGAAAAATGTCACATAACTCATGGTTTGCCGTTACTTACACTAAAACTCCCGCTTACATAAAAAAATCTGGTACTAGCTTTAAAAAAATAAAAAGCAAATTGTATATTTTACTATCATTATTTTGAAATAATGTGCCATAGAACGAACCCAATTTCGATGTAGTTCCAATATTCTAGCGCTGAGCGCGAAAGTTGGACTCCCGGTCTCTGTATCAATGCTGATAGATTACATAATATTATATAAATATCATAGTAGATATAATATATACGAACATAACAATAAATACCATGCAAATGTTTTGTGTGTTTGCAAGAGCATTTAATTGAAATGTATATACTTATCTCTTTTTTTATGAAATTATTCGGGTGAAGTTTTCATGGAAATATTTTGATTAGGTTAATAGCTATCAGATTCACCGCAAAGAATAAGAAAAGTGGCTTCGTTTTATTCAAAGTCTTATCTAAAATTAAAGATCAAAAAATGGTTTGTGTATAACTGTTCCTCAGGAAATTTATACCTTCAAAAAATTTATAGTTATTAGGATTTATAATAACATTTGTAATTATTAAATAATTTAAACACGCTTATGTTTAACAAAATTAAGAAACCAGTATCAGCAACAATAGCTACCATATATTTCTAATGATAGGATTCTCTCTTGCCCGCAACCACTACGTAAAGGTAAAAGGCAAAGACGTATTTAATTTTTTCAATTCATTCGAAATTTAAAAAATACCGAAACTAGGTAGGAACGCTATTCAACCATGTTCATAAGCTGAACTACGAATGTTCATACACTCCAGTTTAAGACCCTCCAGACGCGACCGTAGTACAGCCGAAAATAAAATATGCCATTACATTTTCTCGAGAAGAACTCCAACGGAAGCATTTGCAGTACGTGTCGTATGTCCATGTGCCACAATTGGGCACTTAGCTGTCGGTCCTGCACCTGCTCTTGCAATCGTGTCGGAAATTCAGGAGGAGTTATGTAAACTCAAACTCAAAATAAGTTTATTCATATAGGTAAACAAGTACACGTATGAACGTCAGAAAAGAAGTTAAATTAATTCTAAATTTACATTTACTACCAGTTCGCAAGTCAAGGGCGTAGTGAAGAAGAACTGGCAAGAAACTTTCCGCCACTATTTTTAATCGCTAAGTTGTGAGTCATACAAATTTGTTTGAACTGGAGCAAATCAATCCCAAGCTTTATTGATTAATTTACGTTTAACGAGAGCTTTGAATTTATTCAGTGATAATTTTCTAATTTCGCTTGGGAGTTTGTACTAAAAACGAATACTAATACAATTACTTAGAATTAAAAACACCCGACGGATTATTAATTATACAATGCAACTATCAATAGTATTTTCTAATGTGTTCCAGGCTGATTTGGATTCGAATCTATGTTGAGACTGTTGTTTGAAAGTTTGTTTTTTGTAGTGAGCGCATATGTGTATAACGTCCTACGTATAGCCAGTCTCAATATACTAGCCACAGCGTTGAATCCACCTGGAGAACAGTTGACATCGAGTATATTTAGAAGCAATACAAATTATTATTAGTACAAGTACACAAACATAATATGTTTGTCATTATTTGAAGGTCTGATTTTCCAAATATAACTTCCGGTAAATAAAACATAAATAGATCAGCCGCTACTCGCCAGTATTTATTATCCAGAAATGGCAGATAGGACATGACATTTATTAATTAAAGTCTAGTTAACAATAATTATCAATTCAAAAACATCTGTTTTGCGTTTGAAAACCTTCTATAGTTTCTCTCGTTTTATTTCTGCAATTTTGAATATTATGTACGTTTTAATGAGGCATAATCTTTCGATTTCAAAAATCACAGGTTAATTGTATACTTATAAGTATATGAAGTTTGTATTAGTGATTATAATATACACGGGCTACTTCTGCCAACGCTTAACTAGTGTTATCTTTTGGTATTATATGATAAAGTACTAAACAGAAAAAAAGCACATTTAAAAATATAATAT